TTTGTGTCTACTGAATGCAATTATCAAGAAAGCAACAGGAGTGTTCCAGGTCAATTAGTCTGTTGCTAATATTTCCTATCTTTATGGAATTTGTGTTTCAAGAACATGAAAACAGCCAAGACAACATAGAATGTTTTTGCTTGGTATGAAAAGTTCATGACTGTCTCAATCCAGTCATTACAATAAAAAGCTACCATAAACAACAGACAACAAAGTTTATTTCTATACTAGTATGTGGCTGCTCTATAAAGGAGCCTTTCAAAGTCACTCCATGGCTAAAGACAATTTTTGTTTTCTTTTCCTAAGATTTATTTATTATGTATACAGTGTTCTGTCTGCGTGTGTGCCTGCGGGCCAGAAGAGGGCACTAGATTCATTATGGATGGTCGTGAGCCACCATATTGTTGCTGGGAATTGAACTCAGGACCTCTGGAGGAGCAGCCAGTGCTCTTAATCTGAGTCACCTCTCCAGCCCCCAACAGCACTTCCTTTAGCATAGTCAAAGCATTAGGTTTGATACCCAGTACTGAAAAAACAAAACATCTCTCCCTCCCTCCCTCCCTCCCTCCTTCCCTCTCTCTCTCTTTTACACACACACACACACACACACACACACACACACACACACACACTCATTCCACTGGCTGATCAACTGCTTTCTAGAAGTGTCCTATGTCACTTATGCCAGTTGTTCACCAAGTGTGACCCTCAAGACTAACAGCCAGTGATATCTGGGAACTTGTTTAGTAAGGCAAATTCCCAAGTGCTAACCCAGACCAACACAATACACTCTATCTGCTCACTCACCAGGAAGAAGTTAGGATTAATCCAGAGGGGCACCCTGGATTAACTCTCTTCCCCTGCCCAACAAAAGACCATCTTAAGAAACTCAGGTACATATTTAGAGAGGAAAGAAGTATAGCGGGACCATGGTTAGGAAGGCCACATGCAGAATGGCCTGTATTATCCAAGCCCCAGCGCTCTTTCTTGTCAGTTAACAAGCAAACAACATGAACTTCTTGGGGGAAGTTCCCACAATTCTTTAGACAGATGGAATACTTTTCTCCAAGTTAAGCATCATCTTACACATTTGAAGTAATCTAACTACCCCCAGATATTCTGGACTATGTAAATTTAAAGAAAAAGATGCAATAATCTGTGGGAGTAACATAAAATAGGTTGCCGTTTTCTTGGATTTTAGAATGTCAGTAAAAGGGGGATTAACAGATGGAACAGCCACTCATACACAGTCCTACAGCCTCAGGACAAGGGGATGAGGCAATTTGCTGCATGTAATTTGACAGCTTTACTGATCTCTTATCTCCTCTGCTCCCAGCCCCATTAAAGCTGGTATAGATTCCAGAAAATGAGTATTTACCCCACGCTGTGTACAACCTGAAGCAAAAAAGGTCTTTTAGAGGTAGGTAAGAACTTGAACAGTGTAACTAGTTCCCGTTCATTTTCTTACCCCATTTAACAATAAATACACTGAGAAAGGTGGATGTATAATAGGTAATTTATGACTGACAGCTATTGTTAGTGAAACTTCCTTCCCAGGCTACAGTACCAAGCAAAGGTTATTTCAGCTAAATCACAAGATCAAGGGGGAAAGATGCTGCCTTTGTACTCACCACATAGGAGGGGCTGCAGTATAAAGAGCAGAGTCGAAGGTTAAGGCATCCTTTAAGTTCTGACTATATGGAAAGCAGCCTCTTCACTTACGGTTTTAGAGCCACACACTTCTAGGCCTCCCTCGGCGAGCAGGTTTAGTGTGGCACTGATTCTCATTTGGGTCCTTCATGACAGGTTTTGTTAGGAGGCACAGCACAGTATAGCACATTACACATGCATGACATACACTTTCTCTAGGTTTCTTTCTCCAAATGTAATTAACACAAGGTTAGTGTTGGTGACTTCAAAGGCTAACCTCACTTCCCAAAGAATAGAAAGTAAGACTACTTTCAAGTAAACTCCTTAAGGACCGTACATTGTCGCTAAAGATAACTAGCCATGCTCAACCGCAGGTATAAATTAAAATCCACCTTGTAAGAACTTTATGTTCAGACATTTGTTGTTGGCTTATTCAACATATAAAATGCAGTCTAGAGATGGACACTTGTAAGCCTGAGAACCTTTAATTCTAAGTTGAGGATGATGGGAGCCAAAGTGCTAAATCTTTCTGAAAATATTCCTAAGAGTGCATTTAAACTGCAATCTTTGCCAGCTATTTAAGCCATGAGAACCTTCTGTTTCTGTGTATGTCCAAGATGTCTGGCTTTTAAATGTATTGTTAGGATTTAGTTTTTCTTTGATCATCTGGTGATGATATAAAAACAGTCTCTAGCCCTGCTCCTGAGTATAGGAGACCTCAAAACTTTTAAAACCTGATGGACACTGTCTTCTGTAACTTAGAATAACCCTTTGGCCTCACCAGCCTGTACCATGCTTAGGTCATCAGAGAAGCCAACAGTAACAGCAGCCACAATTATCAGCTGCACTCAGGTGCATCCCCTCCCCCACCCCAAGTAAACAGAGGAGCTACAGGTACAACTGAGCACTGAGCTAGGTGACCAAAAATGGACGATTATATCAGCCCAGGTTCTGGAAGCTTCAGACAAGAGAGCTCAAGGGCTGGTGAAGACATCAGTGTGTTGGAGGAGGCAACATCACAAAACTCCACATCTTCACCCTAGAGATGCATCTCTTCTGTTCTTGAGCCACATCCTTTCCCACAACAGCGAAAGTGTTTTTACGTTCAGTGCTTTCCTGGCTCCTGGGGTGTTTTAGGACACTACTGAACTTTGGGGTAGGGTTCACAGTTGGCTGAGCACAAACGCTTCCAGTCAGTTGGCTGCATCTGCCTATGTGAAGCAAGGGCAGTTGACTGTTTTCAATTGAACACCTTAATGACCACATTGCCACTTTAGACAACTTGTGTTAATTGAAGATGTAATCCAGTACTGGGGAGGCAGAGGCGGTCGGACCTCTGTGAGTTCGAGGCAAGCCTGGTATTCAAAGAGAGTTCCAGGACACAGTCTCCAAACCTACAGAGAAACCCTGTTTCAAAAAACAAAACACAGTGCAAAGTATTTAATTTGAGGGATTCTGCTGTAAGCCTGGGTAATCAGAACTGAATTGCTAGATACCTAGACTGTTGGTGTTCAGTGAGTAGGGGGTGACATAAGCTGTAATGCAAGCACCGCACCCCACAGAGCAGCTTGCTGTCCACACTCTAGATAGACCTAAGCTTAAAGGCCTGTGGGAATGAAGGGAAAACACTCTAGGAATAAGCCCAATTTACTACTTGGAGCAAATACAGATTTTTTAAAGAGCTTGTTATGTGCAAAATATTTTGCAAACTGTAATGCACATTCACCCTAGCCCTAGTGAGCTGTTTCCCTCAACATTAGCAGTCAAATCCAACATGCTAGGTTTGGGGCAAAGGAAATGTGAGTTGTCTCTGATGTGCCAAATATGCAAACTCAAGTGATCATTTCAACACTTTGAAGTGCCTTTGCCTCTGATCTCTATTTTGTGATCACAGCTCTTGAAAGAGAACTGCTCACACTTTCATACCTTGACTTACTTCTTACAACACTCAAAACTCACCAGACACTAGTTGGTAAATGACATGTTTGAAGTCATGCTCTGCCAGGATTAAAGCATATGCCCACACCCACAGCTCACTCTGAAACATTGTCATAACCTCTCAGGACTTTTTAACGTCAAAGAAAATATAAATGAGCTTTGTAGTGGGTACTCAACTGCCAAACAGAGCAAACATACTGACGCCACCACAAACTCTTTTGAATATAAACTAGAAACTTTCATATTTCCATCTGAATGTTGTCAACTTGAGTGATATAAAACACTTCTTCAGTATACTTTTTGATTACACTTAATGCCAGGATTACCAAAAGTACTCTTGAACTGGTCCTTTATGTTTACTTTAAAAAGTAGAGAAATTGTTTAAAATAGTAGGCACTACTTAAAAAAACAAAAAAAGACCATTTCTTGTTGTGTCATTAAGAACTATATCATTGCCTATTTAGCTAAAGAAGTATGTATTAACAATATTCTATCGAGCCATGTTATTAGTCACAAAAACACATGAAATACCTCCAACCAAATTGGTAATTAAAAAAAAAATAAGAGGGTTGGAGAGATGGCTCAGCAGTTAAGAAGGCTGGCTGTTCTTCCAGGGGCCAAGGTTTGATTCCCAGCACCCCTGTGGCAGATCTCTAACTCCAGTTCAAGAATCTTCTGGCTTCTAGAAGTACCAGGCATGCACATGGTGCACATACATACAAGCAAAGCACCCTCACACATAAAAGAATAATAAATAATTAAAAAGAAAAAAAAGAGTCATGAATACATAATTTTAAAGTTTACTTTACAATGTAAATATCTCCCAGTATTTAACAGGTAAAGAAAATATCATATTGATTTTGTGGTTGTTATATTTTTATTTTCCAAGTAATACTGATTAAAAATATTTACACACCTACTTTTAAGTCCACAGTTTAGCACTCTTATTTGTATGGCTTTAAAAGTTATAGCACAAAATCTTTACATTAAGGATTGGGGGAAAAGATTCCATTCAAAACAAAGCCTGATATATTATATACATACTTTTCCTCTGTACTTTATTTTAAATACATTAATTTAAAAATGATGCTCATCTAATTTTTTTTTCATCTGGTGGTAAAATACTAGTGCAACTTCTCATCAAAATAAAGTTTACCACAGATATAAATGAATCTTTCCAATTGAAAATGGCCCTTCAGCTGCCATATAACTTAAAGGAAGAATTGGTTGTCATTATAAGCAAAAGTATCAAGTACCAGAGCAGTTGACACCGCCCCTTAAAACACAAACTTTGAAAGAAACAAAGATGTTTTGCTGAAGTTTTGTTGGCTTTGAAAAGGCACAAGGGTGTTTTTTTTTTTTTTTTTTGTTTTTTGTTTTTTGTTTTTTTTTTTTTGTTTTCTTTCTTCTTCTTTCTTTAACATTCTAGAAATTCTGCCACCACCATTTCTATTTTGGAGACAGCATTTGTAACTACTGGATAGACAAGAATGTTGTTCAAAATAAAGCCAGCCAGATCCCAATGTTTACTGCACAGTAACAATGCACTTCCCTCATGCAGCTTTGTGTTGCCTACAGACTCAATTTCCTAACATGCATTAGAATACAAAGACATGTATTCTAATGGTTTTATGTATGATTTTATAATATGGAAGGAATTAAGGACATGACCTGGGGAAGAGAATAAGGAGACCCTTACCACAATGAAAATAGATGCATTCGTACCCAACTATATAATAAGAATATAATTCATTTAAGTTACCAGAAATATACTTCTCAAAGCTCCCACTCATTATGAGAAATATTCCCATTCTGTGGCATTAACTGGAAGGAAGGACATCAGTCTGTTTCCATAGAAACAGTTCAGCACAACAGAAAATAGTTTAACTTTGGTCCACTTATCTGCTAGCTTAAGGTCACACTGCCCATCAGTTTACCCCAAATGTAAATTTAAAAATGTAATTGTTATTTCATTCTAAAACTGGCATAGATGTTCTGTCATTCTCTGCTTTTCCAGCTTGGGGATATTCTCTTGGTTTAGTCTCTAACCCCTCAGCATTTTCATGATCTTCCATGGCAGCCTCAGCAGCATCTGCATGGCTAGGCTCGCTCTCCTCTTGGCTCATGATTTCAGGGGTCATGTGATCCAAGTCAGCTTCTAGAAGCTCAGTTTGTACTTCAACTGGCATCTGATTAACCCGTTCAACATGCAGCTCCTCCACATGCACTTCAGTACCTTCTTCAGTCTGAATGCGACCCACTTCCAGATAACTCACTTGCACCTGCTCTGGGAGCTCACTCATGTGTGAGTCATGCACCTGGCCATCCTGCAGCAGATCTGGATGGACTTGTTCCACAGTGACTTGTGCTGAATCCACCTGGACCTGCAGCAGTGGTAACACGTGCACCTTTCCAACTTGTTCTATGATAGTCATTGATGTCACTGGTTCAGTTTGTACACGTGTTTCTACTGAAAGCACCTCTTCAGTTACTATACGCTCTGAAATATTGTGAGCATCACTAAGATGCCTCCTTAATTCATTTCCTTGCATAAACCACAAGTCACACAGAGTACAATGGTTGGGTTTATCTCCGGTGTGTATTACCAAGTGATCTTTGAACTGGTCCCAACTGTTAAACACACTGTTACAAACCTGAAAACACCAAGCATAATATGTTAATAATACTTATAATCAAACTGAAGTAAATGTGAACACATTTATTCTCCATAAAATACACTAAGGGGTTGAGATTAGCTGAGTGGAGAACCTACCAAGCATAAACAAGGCACGGTACTGGGTCTAATTCTAAGCTTCAAGATCTAGACATTATTTGGGACAAAAAAAAAAAAAAAAAGTACCAATCATGGAAAAGACCATTGCTGTATCTTGTCTGCTTTCCCTGTCCCTCTCCCACTCCCAGATGCTAATAATTGTTCTCATGGTTAAAATAACTAACTGTGGGCAGGTGAGATAACTCAATGGTAAAGGCATTTGCCTACAAGTCTGGGGACCTGAGTTCAATCTCTGGAACCCACATGGTGAAAGAGAATAAACTCCTGCAAACTGTCCTCTGACCTCCATGTACTGCAGCATGTGTGCCACTGCAATAATAAATATAAACACCCAAACAAATTACTCCCCCAAGCCAGGTGTGGGAGATTTAGAGAAGATCATACATAATTCAATGTCACCCTCAGCTACAAAGGGAGTTTGAGGCCAGCCTGAGCTATGAGACTGTCTTTAAACCTGCATATCCATAAGCACTACTGTACTATTTAGGGCAATTGTTATTAACACTCATCATCTAGGGTTGAATAAAAACAAACAAAAATATTCTAATAACCCACCAGATGGTGGTGGTTCACGCCTTTCATCCTAACACTAAGGAGGCAGAGGCAGGTGGATCTCTGAGTTTGAAGCCAGCTTGATTTAAAGAGTGAGTTCAAGGACAGTTAGAGCTGTTAACAGAGAAACCCTGACTTGGGGGGGGGGGGAGGGCGAATCTAATAACCCTTACAAAGTAAAAGGCTTTTCTTTATTCCCAAGTCTTTCTGAGGCTCTGTTTGCTTGAGATGCTGATACTCCTTGACTCAGAGTTGCATGCCAATTCACCATGCAATGCTGTAGCAAAAGTGCATTTACTAGCCTAACCTATCAGACACTACAGTAGCACAAACAGGCACATTTAACCCTTTGACACTGTAACAGGAAACTGTCACCTACAAAGTTCACATTCAAGAGCTGCTAAAGTTAAAAAACAAAACAAACACCCACCCACCCCCGTTGTTTAAGGATTTTACAATTTTGTCTTTGCCCAGATTATAGCTGTTCTGAGGTCACACAATGGATTCAGCCACAGAGAGTAACAGTTTTGTTTACTACTGTGACTGGACAGTTAACTGGGAGCTGAGGCTTCCTGCTGCCCAGTGTCACAAGACAATGTCCTATTGGGTATCACTGATTCACGAAAAGATCAGAATTCAAAATGCCAAGAATGGTTTCAACTGAACACATAGCTTTTTGCACTACTATCAAGTCAAAAGCTTCTAAACCTCGTGAGTCAATACTATTTAATCTGCACGCACAGTGACTGCAGTAAGTTCCTTTTTGAGAACAAAATACACCCACACATACCTGACATTCGTAAAGCTTCTTCCTTCCCTTTTTTGCTCCTATTCCAGTTTGACATGCAGTGAGGTGACATTTAAGAGTGCTGTTTCTAGCAAACCGCTCATGACAATTTGAACATTCAAATGGTTTTTCACCTATTGCAAGAAAAAAAACCACATCGATGAATTGAAAACATCAACAAAGGCAATATGAGATCATTTTGATTATTTTCTTCTTCTTCTTTTGCAGTGCTGGGGATTGAACCACAGGCTTCATGGATGCCAGGAAAATGATCCACCACCACTGAGGCACACCTTTGGCTAGCTTTATTAAAGTCGTCGTCTTCTGTGAAACAAGGTCTCTACTACGTATCTCTGGCTGCCTTGGAACTCACCCTGTAGACCAGGCCTGCCTCTGCTCCCAAGTGTTGGGATTAAAGGTTTGTACCCCTATACCCAGCTCATATTCATCTGCAGATGACGTGCATATGTGGGTGCATGTGTGTATGTAGGTGGGGTGAGGCCTGATTTGCCATGTATACCAGGCTGACCTCAAGTTCTTATGGCTCATTCTTCTGTGTGTGCCTCTGCCTCCTTCCCGTTTTGAAATATAGTTTCCCCATGTTCCTCATGTTGGAATTAAACTTAAACCTTCTGACTCAGGCTTCCAAGTGCTACAGCTACAGGTGTGACTTAATTAACACATTCACAATTCATAATGCACATGTTTTCCTTTGATAAAAACCAAGCTCTGTTTTATGGAAATATAGAACCATCCTTTCCCTAAGCACCTCTTTTTTTCCTCTTTGTACTAACTGTGTACCATATCATACTTTTGATGACAATAAAAGAAAAAAGGACAGGGATGCACAGATCCATAATCTCAGCACTGAGGAGAGGCAGAGGCAGAAGATTCTGACAGCAAAATGCTGTCTCAAAAAGCAAAACTCATTGAAGCATGGTGATGAATGCGCTTTAATCCTAGCACCAGGGAAACTGAGATGGAAGTTCTAGGCCAATAAAGGCTAGACAGTGAGACTCTGTCTCTAACAAAACTAAAAGCAAAGTAATAAGCTGATGCTCTGAACACTTTCATGAAAATAAACTCAAAGCACTGGAGACTGAAAAGGAGAGAGCTAACAGGGCAATTCTGCCTGGCACAGAATGATCTAAGGAAAGTTGAATTCACTAAAGTACAGCACTGAAGAGTAGATGAGTTAGGAGGGAGTAACTAACGATGAATCCCAAATCTCCGGCTTAGCATGCCACCTCATATCAAGAATGCAGGACTTCAAATGAAGTTTGTAGTGGAGATGCAGGGAAAGATCATGAATTTATTAGTTTGTTTGCAAAGTAGCACAAAGCCCTGGGTTTAATCCTTAGTATCACATAAACTGAGTGTGATGGTACACAGCTGTATCTCAGTACTAGAGAGGTGGTGATCATCCTGGACAATATATTTATTGAATTCAAGGCCACCTGAGCTACACGGAACTGTGTCCCAAAAAAATAAACGAGAGACTAGAGAGATGGTTCAGCAGCTGCTCTTCCAGAGGACCTAAGTTTGATTCCCAGCACACACAAGACAACTCACAACCATCTATTAATTCTAGCTCCAGGAGATGCCTTCTAGCCTGTGTGTGCAGACTTACATATAAGCAAGCACCCAAATATATTTAAAGAGGGGAGGGGGGCCACTAAATTTTATTTATTTTGTAAGAGGTAGTCAAAGTAGAGATTCCCATGGGATAGTTGTATAGACAATTCTGGAGAATCTCTATATACAGAATGGATTGATATATAGATGAAGTCTTTTTCAGTGGCAATGAATACTTCCAAGATAGATCAAAATTCTCAGCATGTTATACAATTACAAAACCCTGAGTAGGTTCTAAGGAAACCCCAAGTTATGACAGCAGGTAGATGAACTAACAGTGAGTGGAAACAGAACGGTCAAAGGATATCAGGAAAATTATAAAGTGGGACAGTACAGTGGCCCCGGGGCCAGGCTAAACCAGAATGGAGGAGTTAATGACAGACTCAGCACTGAAACCAAAACAGAGTTCTGTCAATAAAGCCTAGATAGAAGTAGGGTTGAGGATATGGCTCAGTGATAGAATGTGTATTTAGCAAGCACAGGGCCCAGGGTTCAATTTCCAGAAACATATAATATACATACATACTCTTAAAGAAAAAGAAGCCGGGCAGTGGTGCTGCATGCCTTTAATCCCAGCTCTAGGGAGGCAGAGGCAGGCGGATCTCTGAGTTCGAGGCCAGCCTGGTGTACAGAGCTTTCCAGGACAGTCTCCAAGGCGGCTATACTGAGAAACCTGTCTTGACCCCCCCCCCCCAAAAAAAAGAGGACTGGAAGAGATCTCTAATCAAAGAGAAATCACCATCTGTTGACCCTCTGTGGGGAAGGAAGATGCAGGGGAAGAGGAAAAAAGGATTAGAATAAAAATGGGCATGGTTCAAGTTAAAAGATTTACCACTGGTCTTTGAAGGAAAAGCAAGCTGATGGGAGGAAAAAGAGCTATGCTAACTAGAGAGTGGAAGGAAGGGAATACACAGCAGGGATGGAGAAGCAATTAGATACATCAGACAAGAAACTGCCACTGAGGCAGCATTTTCTCCAGCACTGTCCACTAACAAGGAAGGATATACAGACTCCAACATGCAATGACTCCAATGTGGAGTCCGGTTTTAAATACAAGTAGGATCCTTCTGCTGTGGGATAATCCTTTTGTACACACAACAGATTTGTTGCTGTGATTGGTTTACTAAAGAAGCCGACTGGCCAATAGCTCAACAGGATAAGGTGAGGCAGGAAAGCCAGAATAGGAAAATGCTGGAAGGGCAAAATCTGGAGTCACTCACTATGAGACAAAGGGTGACTGACACAAGATGGGCATGCCACACTTCGAAAAGGTACCAAGACATGTGGTAAAGCATAGATAAGAAATATCGGTTAATTTAAATGTAAGTTAGATAGTAACAAGCCTGAGCTATTGGACGACATTTATAATTAATATTAATCCTCTGGGTAATTACTTGAGTGGCTACAGGACAGGAAAACTTTGCCTACATCCTTCTATGAAAGAAAAGATATGGCAAGGTTCAGGTCAAGACTGAAATCATAAATAAGATAAGAAACTGACAGGAAGGATGAGCTGAAAGGCTTGGAGGTGGATGGACAAGAATTGTCCAGAGTATGGTGATTCAAAGACAGCATTGCATTTGCAGAGAAAAGATGTCAGAGGCTTCACTACCCCAGTAACAAGGGCATTCTGATGTTACCAAAATACTCAAGCAGACTGACATACTGACATAAGTTCCCAAGTCACATGTTCGTTTCCCAATAAAATAAATACAACTTTTACACAGTTTGCACATGATAAAAAAGCTAGGTAGTACCTAATTAATGTTGTTATGGGAACTCTTTAATTCAAGAAACACTGACAAATATGCTAAACAAAACCATTATTTTTTATTAGTGCATAATTTTAGACTACCAATGAAATCTATAAACATAAACTGTAACAGCCTTTGGGAAAGAATAATGTGAGGGGCTCAGGAAGATGACTCAGTGAAGTGTCAGCAGCGCAAGCATCCACCTACAGGAACCCAGCTGTGCTATAGCACAACTGCCCAGGAGGTTACAGACATGGTACTCGGGTAGACACAGGTAGCTCTCTGGTGCCAGCTAGCTAGTGGATGAACTTCAGGTTCAGTGAGAGATTCTGTCTCAAAAATAAGGTGTGTGTGTGTGTGTGTGTGTGTGTGTGTGTGTGTGTAGGTGGTGGCTCGCACCTTTAATGCCAGCACCAAAGCTACAGAGAGAAACCCCGTCTCCAAAAAACCAAAATAAATAAATAAACTAGTAAATGAATTAATAAAGTGGAGAAATACACCTGAAGTTGACCTCTGGCTTCCACAAACATATACATACTCACTCATGCATGTGCCACATCCATACACTCATGCAGGTACACACACATGCTACAGACACACATGTGCACATATGTTTGCAGAGAGGAAGGGAGGGAAGGTAAGGGAGGAATAAAAAGCATTCTGTTGTTTGTCAAGATTTCTTTAACCTGGTACTTCTGTTCTTAAAAATTAAATTGTATACAACAAGATGGCTCAACACTTGCTGTTAAGACTGATGAATTTGAGTTCAACCCCTGGAACCCACACAGCAGAATGAAAGAACCAACTCCTGAGTTGTTCTTTGATCTCCACTTATGTGGTGGCAAGTGCACAGGTACATATAATACATGGAATAAAAAGCCTTCCAAGGTACTTACATGAGCATGTGTATAACAATATGTGTATGTACCAGGATGCTTACTACATACACTACATCGAGCAAACTCTAGCAAAAACCTTGTGTTTACTTAAGAGTTACAATGACATGCACTAAAATAACATGTAGTCACAGTAAAAGACAATTTAAGCCCTCCTAAGAGTTTCATTTGCAATCCCAGCACTTGGGAGGCTGAGGCAAAAGGATCAGCTGAGCTACTTAATGAGAACTTGCAAAAAGAAAAAAAAAGTGTGAGTCTAAAATGAACCAAACGGCAGAAGCATATGTGCTTATGGTTACTTGATAATGCAAGGAATATGCCCGCAGTTTAGAGGCAAGCATTCTCTACCACGCCCCGCCCCAATAGTAGTGCTAGGTGCTTTGTATGCCCAAACAATGTTCTCCATTATGTTTTCCCTTTGAGCCAGTAGCTAGCTACTTTTAAGAAATCTATCATAACTAGGAAAGAATCACTTTCTACTGCCTGCCCCTCAAGCTATTTGTATTAAACAATTAGTTTAGTAAGTCTGGTAAAAATCTAGAAATAGCCAGATGACTTTTTTGAGAGGGTTTTTCTCTGTGTAGCCTTGGCTGTCCTGGAACGCGGATCAAGCTGGGCTTGAACTAGCAGAAACCTACCTACCTCTGAGTGCATGACCACTGCATGGCTGTTGTTTTTTTTTTTTTTTTTTTTTTTTTTTTAAGATATGTAGACTGTTAGTCTTCAGAGTGCTTCCTCTCTTCTCTATTTGTCATATCTGTGGGATGTGTATACCATTTCCTTAATGCAAAGAAAGGGGCCTCACTATAAAGGGACCCACCATGTTCATCAGACTCGTGGCTGTAAGGAATGATCCAGATTTTCCCATTCTCCTTGGAAAGCAGGGACCAAGTACATCACATCAAGGTTGTTTTTCAAATACAACTGTCAAACATATCAGGTATTCTCTGTCACCTCCTTCTGGCTTATGCCAGTCACATGGTCACTCCAACAGAAAGATCACCCTGTTTCATTCACCTTCAAGTTTCAGAGACCACCAAATCCTTGGCTCCTGCCTATTACTAAACTCTGCCTCTTTTTACTAATGCTGCTGTTAACTAATCTCTCATTCTTCAGATTGCTCCAAAAAATTTCCTCATCCAGAGCCAGGAGGTTTTATCTCACATCAGTCTACTTTGCCAGTCACTGGTCTAAAACAGAAACCCGATTCTTCTGCTTCCACATTTAAGCCTATAAGGGAGGTAAAGTTCAGTTTGCCTCTGTGCTAAACAGACTCTACAGCATATACTCTACAATTTACAACTAGTAAAGCTAATTAAGTTACTTTCTATCTCCGGGCTGGAGAGATGGCTCAGAGGTTAAGAGGTCCTGAGTTCAATTCCCAGCAACCACATCCACATGAGGTGGCTTATAAGCATCTGTAATAAGATCTGGTGATGCAGGACAAACACTGTATACATAATCAATAAACAAATCTTAAAAAAAAAAAGTTATTTGTTACCTCACATTCTTTGAAGAGTTAAAAAAAAAAAAAAAAAAGACACAGAACATAAACGTCTGCAGCCCTATAGCACAGGATGGGAAAGTCCCTCCTCTCCCTGCTCACACTTCTCCGGTATGCAGCCCAGATGGCCTGCTCCAGCAATCTCTTGGTATTCCTTTACTTTGACCCAACTCTACAGGCTCCATCTGTCTACTGGGATGCACACAACTTGCTTTTATGCTTTCCTCTATGACTGTGTTTTCTTTTGCTTGAAAATCTGCTTCCACACTACTTTTCCTCCTGTGAGGCATCATCACTGGGGCTGGATCTTAAGGAATAACACATTTTGTGAGTATGAGTCCTCAATTTCCACTGGTGTACTATAACTGACTTTGAGCAGTGAGAGAAGGAAGAGGAGGAGGGGAAAGAATCAACATCAGGAGCTATCCAAACTCCACTATCAAAGAAAGATTCTAAATGGCATATGTACCTATACTCTATTTCAATAATAATAACACTCCAAATGGCCTTACTACATATAATAACTTGGGCACAACTGTCTAGAAATTCAACTATTAGCAGCTCATGGTAACTGCTTTCTCCACACTCTTATATGGGGTTTAGAGCCTAGCAAAAATTTAAGTCACTGGTAGTAGGGTCCTGTGCTTGACTTAGTAAATCTAGCGAGGAATGCTTGGTGAGTAAAAGGACTTCAAGCACCTCACCTCCACTGGCTGTCCACTAGTCCTGACATATTTGCCATTAAGAGAGGTGAAGACTGACAGACAGAGATGACTATCTTTTCCTGGCTCAAAAATATACTACTGGAAGTGCCTGCTGCATAGACAACAGGACATGAGTGTGTACCTCCAGATATCATGTAAAAAGCCAGGAATGGCAGTGTGGGTATGTAACCCAAGCATTTAGCTAGGTGTGAGGAGTGGGGGCAGATTCTTGAAGCTTCCTGACCAGCCAATTTTGTTGAACTGATTAACTTCAGGTTCAGTGAGACTCTGCTTCCAAAAATAAAGTTGAAAAGAAGAATTATGGAAAGACTCATCCATCTCTGGCTTACACACACACACAGGTGAACATCCGGTATACAAATACATATATGCCCACTCAAACCCACTGAATACAGCACACTCTCTTACGAGATTGCTTATAAATGTCTATCTATGTAACATATTAGCATGGGAAACAAAAAGTCACACTATAATTAGGATTTAATAATTCATGGTACTTAGCAAATAAACTTTTTACAAATTTCTATGAAGAATATAAAAAAGGGCAAGTCATATAAGAGTGGCCATCATCTTCAAGGTAGACACTAGTTTGCATTTAAAGCATCAAATATTTCAAGAAATGAGTATGTATGTGCATACCCTGCTCATCAGGAAACACAGGGGGAAACAGACTTCAAGTGAATGTAGAAAACAATATACTTTAAAGTATTTCCCAATTACCTGTATGTTTTCGAAGGTGTTCTTTAAAGTGTCCAAAGTGGTCAAACTGTTTGTCACAGTACTGGCAAATGTGAATCTTTTTCCCAGTTCTTTGCTTCTTACTCACCCCACCTTCTTCAAGGTGGTAACAGTTTAGGTGCTGTTTCCATGCGCTCTCTCGAAGATACCTTTTATTGCATATGTCACACTTGAAACTCTCAGTGGAGTGTGATTTCATGTGTTCCTTAAAATGGTAAAACAATTTAAACGAACGGTTACATTTCTCACAATGGAACAAGTCCTTCACATGTGACAGCTGAAGTTCCACAATTTCAATACCTTCTACCTGTTTGCTTATGGGGTCAGATGCACAGTCATCTTCACTAATCTGTTCTTTGCTTTCACCTTGGCGGTACTTGCTGGTGATATCTGCCAGGAGTGCTAGTGCGGACTCATCTGAGGAGCCTGTGCTCTGTATGTACTTTATAGACTGCTTAGCAGAAGAAACCTCCTCCAAAGTCTCCATGCTTTCATCCTCTACTTCAATTGTGCCTTCAGCAATCTCCACCTCAATTTCCACAGGCTCTGATTCTGCAGATGGCAACGATTCAGTGATAACATTGGACGTTTCAGCAATCTTTCTTTTTTTTGCCTCATTTTTTCCTGTAGTATTTTCCTCTAATGGAGCTGAGTTTTCTTTGTTCCTGAAATATATATAAAGTTAAGGGTTAAGGAAAAAAAAAAAAACTATAAAAATATCTATAAAATCACAGAAGATGTCTTTGAAAAAAATTAAATTTACATGGAAGGCAGAAAACAAAAATTTGGCAGCCTATATTGATCAATTAAGATTTCCTAAAACAATTAACAATTAACTTAATCCTAACAATTAAGATAATGGTATTGATCAAAATATTAGGTATACAAATGTTAGTGGAATAGAACAAAGTCCAAAAACAAACCATTACTTATGATATTAACTTCTGGAGAAAAAAAAAATTGTTCAGAGTAACCCAATGGAGAAAGACACTCTTCACTCTTTTTTTTAAAAAATGGATCACAGATTAAAATGTGAAAACTAAACTTCTAAAAATCAAGGGGAAAAGTCTTAGCCACAGGCCCACCAACCTCTGTCTCCCCGCTGCCAATCTTTATGTTAAAATACACGAAAGCCTAACAGTGTCGTGACAACAGGGCATCATATGCCCAGGGTGTGCACTTTAAAAATCACTGCAAATCCACCCTGAAACAAGCCCCGAGGCTTGTGTCTGTCATCCTCATCTAGAAAACATGGAGAGGGATGCTCAATCAGAAGCTCCAGAACCTGAAGCACAGGCTTTCAGGAGGATCACCTTAATAGTGACTGAGGTGGTTAGGTGAGCTGAAAACACCAACAGGTAGACAAGAAACATGTAGCTTCTAGGATGCTTGAAACCAAAAGCAAATGTGCCTTGCATACTGGCAGACCGTCATCATCTCTCTTCAAAGATTTGGGGTTTTAGACTTGAGACCCTAGTCACAGCTACAAGCTACATAAAATTCCTCTTAAAAGAAGCAATTACCATGCTACTGGTCACATATTGGAATTGGTACCCAACCTGTGGAAGCTGGAGTCTTCCAGTCTGAAAGTCCCATTTCGTACTGAGTCAACCAGACTTTGTGACTAATATGGTAAGAAGTGTCCAACAACAAGTATCTTTGGTCAGTCAAGAAGAAATATTTAATTTGACAAAGTGGTTGGCTTTCTGTTACAGATGCTCAGCCTCAACAGCATCTATGAAAGCCAAAACAGACACAGCGGCGATGCTTGATAGGCTGTCCTCATAGTTCTGGCCAACATTCCTCATCATTTATCATGCTATATTTCCACTGACACACAGGCTGTTGCCAGTGGCTTAACTGTTTGGTGAGCTAACCTGAAAGGCATGGTACACCAAGACACCTACTTCCAAAGTCACAATCACAGGGAAGAGTGGTTTCAGAAACTTCCTGAGTTACTCATTTAAATGTCCACGACAAATGAGTGTTCTTTATTAAGACTAACTGCAATCAGTTATTGAAAGCAGCCTATTAAACAAGCAAGCCTGCTTTGCCCAGGCTGCCATCCATATACCAAGAGCCAACATTATGAATGTGTTAATACAGTCATCATCACAAGCTGGTCTTAAAGTAAAAGATGCTCTTTCATATGCAGACTTTCACACCCAATTTCTGCTACCTCCTAAGGGACTGCCTGTCTCCTGTGAAGACATGACATGCCTTCACACAGGATGCTGTTACTTACGATCTGATACTGATCTAGGACCTGTGTGTGGTAGCTTCACCCTAATCATCTTTCGGGTCATTCTTTTTGCTGCTTCAAGGCTCAGAATGTGGTCCATGAACACCGTGTCATGTATTGCTTCCTGAACTAGCTACAGTCTGAAAATGGTGCATCTTTTTTTTTTTTTTTTTAATCACAAAAGCACTATAATAATTGGATAACAAGAAGGTGTTAGCCTCTGATGTTTACTACCTTCCACGAATACTGATATGCAAACTATTACAATAACTTCCTCAAACATTGACTCAAGATAATTTCCCACTCTACTTCCCTCACCTCCTGCTTGTCCAAAAATCTGAGTAAGGCAGGTTGGTCATCGAGTTCAGCTGTCCCCAGAAAGGGGTCCCCTCTTCTCAGTTGCTTCCTGAGTAATGAAGACGACAAAAAGGATGGGAAGCATATGTAAGCCTAATCAGAAAATTTAGGACTCTGCTCTGAAAATATTCTTTGACATTATTTTTCCCCAATAGCAACTCTGGGGCAATAAAGTAGGTATCTCTCTCAAATATGGGCTTAAATGATTCAAGCTTAATTCTAGTTTAGTCATCTGGGTTCTTACTAGAACACCACCAAATAAGAATAAAAACCACTGACCAAGCAGCTCATTTATAATGGAACACATGAGGCCAAGTGGGAAACAATGGGTCTGTAAATTTTGTAAAAATGCTCTTGAAACAAACACATCATATGCAAGTTCTGGGCAGGAGTAGATGACTAATGACTAGAAAAGAGTTACAGTTGCTATACTAAGACATTGATATGGGGTGGGGAGGGGTTGAGGGAAAACAGCAATCCCAGGGCCGGGAGACAGTACTTTACATCCCAGGACGTTTATGGGAGGGAGAAACATTAAACCTTTCAGAGCCACTCAGTTGCTATTCAAGTGTCTGAGACTGAACTGACTTGACTGCCTTTCAGACAGCCCTCCACAAACTACAGCTACTAACAGGCAATGGCAACCTGTGTCCCTAGTAAAGTAGGCCTTAAATCTATATCTGCAAGTACAAGGTTTACTCAAATTCTCTTAATAGTCTTAAATAAGCCAATATGAGAAAAACTGAATGGATTAAGTCAGTCCTTACTAGTAGATTATTGGAGTGACTAATGATAAAGAAGTAATGAGAAGAATTACCAGAAGCCTAGATAACATAGAAACAAGACTACTGCTGGGAAACTTTTCATGGATCTCTCATGCACAGACAGCCCTTTATCTGTTTGCAAGGATATTTGTATATGTAACAGCTTAAAAACAAAGTTTGCCCTGTTTCCGAGTGTAAGATAAAGATAATGTCTACCCCCGTTATCAATGAATTTCAAAACTGATGACATTAGGTAAGTTTGTACTTACCATATATGCATATATAATTCTAGAAAATGTTAACGACCTATGGCAACAGTAGACTGGTATGATCATTAAGACTGGATTACAAAATTAAGAAACAGAGTGCCATATTCATTAACTTGATAGTGATAATGGTTTTATGGGTATGTTAAAAACTGCACACTTCAAAAATCTTTAAAAAAAAAATTTTTTTTTTTTTTTTTGTTTTGTTTTGTTTTATATTTTCGAGACAGGGTTTCTGTAGTTTTAGAGGTTGTCCTGGAACTCGCTCTGTAGACCAGGCTGGTCTTGAACTCAGATCTACCTGCCTCTGCCTCCCAGCTGCTGGGAATAAAGGCGTGAGCCACCGAGGCCCAGCTTCACTTAAATTTTTTATAACATGTATTCATGTCATTTTGTGTGAGTATTTTGCCTACATGTATGTATGTATACCGCATGCATGCAAGAGTGTCTGCAGAGATCACAAGGGGTAAGCATCTCCTGGAATGTTGTTCCTAGAATGAAAGGGGTGGTCATGAACTCTCACATAGGTTATGGGAACTGAACCCAGGTTCTCTGCAAGAGCAAGTGCTCTTAATCACTGAGCCATTTCTCCAGTTCCTAAGTCTTTACATTTTTTATTTTATGTGTTGACTACATTAATGTCTACCTTGTACCCAAAGAAACCAGAAAAGGGCATCAAATACACTAGAAAGTAGAGTCACAAGTGAGTGAGTCTCCATGTAGATGCCAGGACTCAAACCTGGGCCCTATAGAAAAACACTCAGTGCGCTTGATGCGCTTAACTACTTAGCCCCTTCAAACTACATACTTTAAATATGGTTTAATATTTACAAAACTAGCACATGTCTACCAGATTAAGCCTTTTTAAAACTGTAAACACGGAGCTGATAAGATGGTTCCACTGGTTAAGGTGCTTGCTGCCAAGCCTAATGACCTGAGTTCAATCCCCAGGACACACACAATGCAAAGAAATAACCAACTACTCCAATTTATCCTCTGACCTCTGACATTTTTGCTGTGGCACATGCATGCCCACGTATATACACATACAATGAATAAATGAGGTAATTAGAAAGTTTTACAAACATTTAAACCCCAACACACACACACTCTTATCAGAATAAAGGCTCATTAGAAGTTAGTGAACTGTAAAATACATGCAACTTATGTAAACAAAGCTTTATTAAAACAGCCACCTCGTGCATTTACTTATTGCATGAATAGCACAAATAAGGTATTTTTCTTTTTTTTTTTTTTTTTTATGTGAAGCAGATGTTAAATAACTATTTCTCTTTAAAAATGTTTACTGAGCTGGCAAACCATGTGGGGGCAAGTATGCTCCTAATAATATTTTAAAATGTTCACAAAGGTTTTAAAAATAATCCTTAACAATACTCAGTGTACTAGTGAGGATGCAACAAAACTGCAATCTCTTGTGTACTAGCAGAGCCTGTGTCTAAAGGTAAAAGCAAACGCACTAAACTTTAAACGTGTACTGGAATGCTGTGCGGTGGTACACACCTTTAATCCCAGCATTTAGGAGGTGAATCTCTGTGAGTTTGAGGCCAGCCTGGTCTACTCTCACCCAATTCTAGGGCAGCTAAGGCTACAAAGAGAAAATGTTGTCTCAACACACAACACACAAATGTTTACTGAGAAACTTGACATGCTCAGCAGCATTGCTCTAACAGTGAAACACCAGAAAAATAACCCAAAAGGTCATGCTATCATTCACTCTATGAACTACTAAGAAATGAGAATAAATGCAAAGCATCACAACATCAAACCTCTGAAATTCAATACTAAATGAAAAATAGCAAAGACAATGGCCACAGAAACCCATTCATGTGGCATTAATACAGTAAAAACTCAAGCAACTACTATCAGATCAGTGGCTCCCTGGAGGTTTGAGATCAACATAATCATCCAGCCTCCTGGGATGATAAAGATGCTTCTTGATCTTGACTGTGACAATGCAGATTTGCTCAAATCCAAACTCTGGCCAGGTGTGGGGGCACAAACCTTTAATCCCAACGTTCAGGAGGCAGAGGTAAGCAGATCTGAGGCCAGCCTGTCTACACAGGAACTCCAGGACAGCCAAAGCCACAAAGACCCTGACACACACACACATACCAAACCCAACTCTGATCAAAATGGGCAAATGGCTACTATATGTGAATTACAACATCATGAGAGAAGAGTGAAAACCTCCATTGGCAACCGCATTTCCCTACTGAGTTTTAAATAAGCAATGATGCTATTCCAACAATGTAAAATAAAGCCTTAGTGTATAGTTCTCAGTACCATTCATATCTGACACTACATTAAAAAACTAATGCCTTTCCTGGAAATGTTAAAAGGAACACTATATACCTTTGCCTGCAAAATAATAAACATAATACTCATCGATTGTTCCTCTAAGAGGTAAATTTAACGAAAACTAACCTTGATTCTTAAATTGTCTAGTCCATTAAACTTACATGTTTAATGTTTTGTTTTTATAGCACTGGGGACTTGCCTGTCAAATCTATCACCCATGAAGTACACATTTAAGTTACTAATTTATACCCCTCTTCCAGGTGACACTTGTACTATTAATACAATTTTTTTCTGGTTTTTTGAGACAGGGTTTCTGTGGAGCCTTGGCCGTCCTAGAACTGAGAGATCTGAGCGCCACTGCCTCCAGAGTGCTGGGATTTAAGGTATACACTCCCACTACCTGGCTCCATTAATACAATTTTAACAGACCACTTCAGAAGGCTTTAATTATATAACAATGATTTATTTAACATCAATTCATTGTAATCATTTCAGATATTTTAAGTAACAAACTAAAGTTGTGTGGTATCGAATTTAGTTATACTAAGTTACTATAGTGTCTAGTCATTTGTTGAAGAGTGTATTTTGAAGGATGTCAAAACCATTTTATTAAAACAGAAGAAACTAAGTAAACTAAGTACTATTGCTTAATTATGTTCTTTTCAAGTGCAAGTATTTGAGGTAAATGGTAAATTACTCTTAACTAGCATTCTAATGCTCATCTAATTATGAGTATGACCAGGTAAATCCAGATCTCTGACCCAAACAGAAAGGACTGACATACACAGAGTACTACCATGGGACCACTCAGTCCCAGAACCCAGAGTCACATGATGCTGTGCCTCTGTAATCCCAGCACCCCCACTAAGGGGAGATAGGAGACAGAAACAGGAACCCTGCACACTTACAAGCCAGGTGGACTCAAATACAAAGAGCAACAGAGAAAACAAGGTGTTTGGTGGGCAAGTGTTTGAGTAGCTTGTTTAACTAGCTATTGATTTTGTTATGTCAGTTAAGTAGAATATAGTGATTTTTCTTTTAAAAATGTAAGTTTAAAGAGAGACCTTGTCACAACAAGGAGGAGAAAGTGAGCAGCAACTGGAGAGCTGTAGTCTGACCGTCACACCTGCACCCTGAAACAAGCACACGCACCCACAGACCTGTGGTCCACTCTGCTGCCGTCTGGTGCCCAGATGCTACTCATGATTTTCAACAGCAAAAAGCCCCACACAACATTTCTTTCAGAAGGTTCTCAAAAAATTAAACACAAATCTGAAATTGTGCCTCAACACACACCTTTGCTTTACTAATCATTGCTAATCAATTTCAGCTATCTATCTGCCAGAGAGGACTACGCTGGTTTGAACAGGCATCCACCACAAACACTATGTGTTATTTACCAGGTGTCAGGCATCAAGTGGATATGTACCAAGTTCTTTCCAGAAATGTTTAATTGTGAACCATCAAATTAACTAAAAGAAATGTTACTGGGGTCTGGAAAGGTGGCTCAGAAGTTAAGAGCAACAGTTCACAACCATTTATAACTCCAGTCCTCTTCTGGTTGTAAGCACCGCAGGTACATAGTACACAGGCAAACAAGCAAGCAAAACACTCACACACATAAAATTAAAAATTTAAAAAATAAAATGTCACTTATGACAATTATAGTTCAAGTTTTTTTTCTAGATTTACTCCCAATTTCATCTTTTGACTAAACCCTACCAATGAGTTGGATTAAATCATTTTGTTCCTGCAGGAAAGCAACCTATAAAACAGTGATTGTCAACATGCTAATGGTCTATACTAAAAACAAATGTTTTTTTTTTTTTTTTAAATTAATCCTTTAAAAACCAAACCACAGGAGGAAGAGGAAAGCCAAATAATACCAGGAGGTACCACATTTTGAACACTACATTGTCATATGTATTTTACAGGCATTTAATCTCACAATCAATTCTCTGTAGAAAGTCACATTATTATACCATCTGATGGGCTGAGTACTTCATTAAGGCCATAGTGACGGAGCGAGAGTAACCTAGAGCTATGCCAGAGCCCTCAGCCCCTCCTATTTGCTTTGAATGAAGGTGCTGAGTGATTTGTTAATGGTACCCTGTAGTATTTTCTGAATGCCTCTTACTAGAAATTCTGTTTTAATACCAAGGGGTTACTCCTTAGCAATGGGCCTGTTCTCATGCTACAATACCACTGGACACCATTTTTTTCTCCTTTGCAGTGGACATTTTGGAAGTCAGATGGAGATTTAAATCATCTAGAGTATATAACAAGTTTATATAAATATATTTAGATTATAATGGTTCTAATTTGGCCACTGTGGTGGTTTTAATAGGAACCCCATAGGCTCACAGATTTCCTTCCCACCACAGACAATGGACTGAACCTGAGTGTAAGCCAGCCCCAACTAAATGTTTTCCTTTATTAAGAGTTGGCTTGGTCATGAGGTCTGTTCACAGCAATAGAACTTTAACTAAGGCAGCCTACTGACTTATATTAACATTCACAGTATTAATAATCACTCAAATCCAACTAAAGATTTTATGAGGGCCCAGAGACCGCCCTAAAGAGCTGCCTAGACTCTTACTAGATACCAGACATGCTATTGTAACACTAGCTGTGCTTACTTAAGTAACCAATGCAAATGGAAAAATCAATATTCAAAATTGTCTTAGTTCCAGAATGTCCTTGATACAACACACACTACAGTCTTGATGAACAGACTCATTTAGCATTCCTGAAGGAATAACAATTACCGGACTTCAAGGGCTTTAATAGCTTCCAGCATTTGTAGAAACTCTGCTGCTTTCCACACATCATTGGCTTCTTCTTCTCCTTGTATCATTAGTTTTGCTGTATATGTGAACTCAATTAAGTGACGAAAAGCCATTTTACTAACACCTGTAAAAAGTGCACATTATCATTAGTTCATATCAATTCAAACCACATAATGCACAGTAATAAGACAGTACTAGGGGTCTGATTGTCATTTTTAAAAAAAATGTCCACAATCATCATCATCACAATTAATACACTAGTCACATTCTAGCACTACTCACCAAGGTAAGATCTCATGTTCCCCATTGTAGCTCTGATGAGTCCAGTCTAGCCTCCACCCTGAAACCTTTTAAATTTCATTTTACTTTAAATTATGTCTGTGTGAGTGTCTGGGAAAGCCAGAAACAATGGATCCCCTGGAGCTAGCGTTACAAGTAGCTGTGAACCACATGATGGATGAGCTGGGAATTGAACTCAGGTCCTCTGGAAAAGCAACAATATTCTTAATTGCTAAGTCATCTCTCTAATCCCCACCCCTTAACTATGAATTTGACAATTTCAGTTAGTTACATATGTGGACATTTTGTCATTTATCTTTCTCTAACTGGCTAAATTTAACATGTTTTCAAGGTTTACATGTTGCATATGGCAGAATTTTTGAAGGCCTACCAGTATTTTGTCTATGTATAAATATCCTTTATTCATTAGAATATTCAGTGTTTTGATGAACATTTACATCATCTCCACATATTAGCTACTGTGAATGGTACTAAAAAGAATGGAGACATACAATTAAAGAAATTTTCAAATTTATTATTGCGTGTGCATGATAAATGGACATAATGTGCCACACACAGTGTACCTGTGGAGGTCAAAGTAGGTTCTAAGAATTGAACTCAGGCTGGGCATTGGTGGCACAGGCCTTTAATCCCAGCACTGGCGAGGCAGAGGCATATGGATCTCTGGGAGTTCCGAGGCCAGCCTGGTCTACAGAGGGAGTTCCAGAACAGGCTCCAAAGCAATACAGAGAAAGCCTGTCTTGAAAAACAAAACAAAAAAGAAAGAATTGAACTCAGGCTGTCAGTTTTCACACTAACTGCTGTTTACTGAGCCATCGCTGGTCAAGGAGCACAACTTCCTGAAGATCCCGATGCCAATTCTTTTGCATAGATGCTCAGATGTGGAATTACTGGATTTTATGTGTTAACAGCTTGGCCCCAGCTGGTGGCATGTGACTCAGACTGAGAATGAGTGGACTACTAAAGGGGCCTTGGTTATTCTATCCTGCAGACTGTGTGGGTCCATCACCCGCATACCTGACTTTCTCGGCTGTTGGCTTCTAGGAAAATATTTTAGACTCATTCATGGGCAGGATCATTTACATACCAACAAAGTTTTAGCTACATTACATACTAAGGGATCAATACATGCACACTGAATTGATTTTAAAGAAGGGCTGGGAGCTGGAGAGGTGGCTCAGAGGTTAAGAGCACTGATTGCTCTTCCAGAGGTCCCAAGTTCAACTCCCAGCAACCACATGGTGGTTCACATCCATCAATAATGATATCTGGTGCCCTTACACATGCTGGCAGAACACTGTCTGCACAATAAATAAATAAATCTTTAAAAAAAAAAAAAAAAAAAAAAAAAAAAGAAGGGCTGGTTAGAGGAAGGTTTTTCTTGCTCACAAACTGCTATGAGGTGAACACCTGTCTTCCTGCAGGCCTCTGCTGCAACACCTGCTGTGTCAAGATGCTTCATTTACCACAACCTCTGGAACTCAGAGCTGACTCTCCTCCCTTGAAAAGACATTCAACACATATGGTGCTGCTACTTTAAACTTTTGGCATGCTTCCTGTTGTTCACAGTAGCCACACTCATTTCCAACCTTTCTCCCCCCATCTTCTGCTTCCATGATACCCTCTTCACAAACGTGCAGTGATCATGGCTGAGTAATGGTGCAGATGGAAAACTCTTTCATATAGAGGGAATTGTTTTCTTTCTTTAAATTCCCACTCTATAGTTATTATTTTTGGTTTTTCAAGTCAAGAGTTTCTGTGTAGCTTTGGAGCCTGTCCTGGCCTTGAACTCAGAGATCTGCCTGCCTCTGCCTGAGTGCTGGGATTAAAAGTGAGTGCCAACACCATCAGCTCTTACTCTGTGTTTGAGAAGTTTTAAATTTGAGCTGTCCTCTTTCTGCTGCTGTGCTGGAAACCCCAGGCTAGCTGGCCCATCTCTGTTCCCTCACTATTGGAGTGCCAAGGTCACAGATGCTTCCTACTGCCATCTGGTAGGTTCCAGGATCAAATTCAGATCTTCGGGTTCTCCTTACAAGCCTTTTTCACTATCTTTCTAAACTTTTTTTTTTTTTAAAGGCTATATAGCTAGCCTTGAACCTGTGACAACCCTGCTGCTTCAACTTCCAAGTAACAGGATTGACAGGTGCCAACCACAATGCTTGACTAGTTTCCTAATATTTTACCTACAATCTTTACACCTATATTCATAATGGATATTGACTTACCGTTTTATTTTTAAATTATTTATCTTGCTACATCAGAGTCATACTAGTCTCAAGTAAATCTCAAAGTGTTTACTGTATGTACTCAGGAAGCAGAAGTAGGTTCAAGCCCATACTGGTCTACACTGAGAAACCATGTCTCAAAAAAACAAAACAAAATTGAAGTGTTCAATTGTTTTTAGACATTTATTTTATTAATGTGTGTCTATATGTTTATAGACACATAGCTGTCTGCAGAGGCCTAAGGAGGCTATCAGATCCCCCTGGAACTAGAGGCATCGACAAGTAATGAGCCATCTGACATGGGTGCTGGGTATAAAACTCACTAGATTCTCTGAAAGAGCACTTACATGCTTGTCACTGGTGAATTCTCCACCCTCCCAATCTCCTGTCCCCCTTGTTTTGAGTCTAAAGATGGCATGAATCCTTGAAATGTTTGACTGAGTTCACTAGTATAGCCATCTGGTCCTAGACTTTTCTTTGTTCAGAGGTATTTTGATAACTAATGCAATCCCCACAGGAGGTCCTTTATACCGTTTCTTCATGATTTAGTAACGAAACCTTCAGTTATTTCCCACAGGCTCAATTCTGTAACTGTCTGGAAATTTAGTTTATAGAAGTCTCTTCACTGTAACCTAGTGGGGAGAATTAACTTTTGATCTGTACATTCACCTCAGAGTATCTAACAGTTTCCCAAAATACTGGCCCATACAACAAGAATAAATGCTAAAGTTATTTTTGAAACTAAGTGTCCAGTTCAAGTGTGTTGACACAGATCTTTGATTCCAACTCCCAGGAAGCAGGAGGATCTCGTGGGAAGTTAGAGGCCAACATAGTCTAACAGAGCAGTGACATGAGACCCTGTCTCAAAACAAAAACCCTGTTTCTACAAATCCTATTTTTCTTTCAAGCTTTGTGCTTAAATTTAATAACAAAAGGATAATATTTCTGAATAGCCTTACTGATAGGTATTATTGTTTCAGTCTAGCTAAAGCAAAAAGCAATTTAAGAAGGCTATTTAAGCTGGGCATGGTGGCTCACAACCTTTAATCCCAGCACCCGGGAGGCAGAGACAGGCAGATCTGGAGGCCAGTCAGGCCTACAGAGTGAGAGCTAGGACAACAACTATAGTGGGCTGTTATACAGAGAAACCCTGCCTCAGAAAACAAAACACTTGAGTGTAAGAAGGCTATTTAAAGGAGCAAAGAAAAACTTTTAACATATTTCCAGGCCAAGAAATGCTCATCTAAATTACAAACAGTATACAATTGCTAAATCAACATCCTCCACATTACTTTCAGAAGTAGGATTAAGGTGACTCACTGATTTTTTTTCCAATTTAAATACCTTGATTTTATTTATTTATTTTTTTCCCCTGCTACAGATTTGGGCGTGAAAAATGATATGTAGATCAAACCCAGGGCCTTTGTATGGATGGACATGCTAGGAAAGTGTGCTACGTTTTCAGTTTTACAATTTGACTTTCATTAATGGATTTTATCAGACAGGTTTCACTGAACTCTTGTGGGTACTCACATATTGGGTATTTGCTAAACTGGACCTGGTGATGAACATATGTAATCCTAGCATTCAGGTGTTAGACCAACCAGTAAAACTTCATGAAAGAAAGTAAGAGAGAGAAAATGTACTAACTATGTTTGTTAGGATCACTAAGTTATTCTGCTGTACTGAACAGGGATGGAAGGCCCTGGCCATCTATTTGTAGAAAACTCCACATGGTATATGCCGTTTAAAGCTGTCAAGAGGGCTGGAGGGATGACTCAGTTGTTGGAGCACCACTTGCTCTTCTAGAGCACTAATTCAATTACTAGCTCCCCGGCAGCTCACAGCTTCAGGGGATCTAATAACACCCTCTTCTGGATTCTGCAGGCACTGCACACATGTAGCTACCATACACTCAGTAAAATACTCCTACACATAAAACAAATCCTTTTAGACAAAGAAGCTATCAAGCTGGGCAGCACTGGCAAATAACTTTAATCCCAGGACTTGGGAAGCAGAGGTAGTTAGTCCTGTGTGAGTACAAGGTCAGCTTGGTCTACAAAGGGAGTTCCAGGACTGTTACATAGAGGAGCCCTATCTATCAAGAGTGACAACATAATTTGTAATTTGGAACACCGTCCTCTTGGAAAACTGGCCTACAGACTGGCCTACAACACAACCAACACATTCAGAAAGAAAATTGTATCAAAGTTAGAAAAAACTGTTAAAGAGAAACTTAAAAGAGGAACTAGAGTGTTTACCTTTTCCTGTTCCTAATCTGGTTTAATTAGAATCACAGTCCTAAAGGATTCAAGCATGGTTCTCTGATCTCTAGACTCAGACCAGAGGAATGCTATTTATCTTAATATGAGAACATCAGAGTTTGTATGATGGAACCAGCCCAGAACTATCCTAGAAGCAAACCAAACTAATCTGGTATTTTGGGGTTAAAACATTTCTTACCAATCCCTTACTCCTCTCATAGTGGAAATATTCAGAAAAATATTATTTTTTCTAAGAGAATGTTATCTAAGGACAATGTTAAAGAACACTTTAAACCCCAGTCTTCTTTCTCTAGTTTGGATTAAAAAAGGAATTCAAAGAAATCAAAAAAAAAAAAATCAAAACAAAAAACTCATACTGAGAACAACTTTTGGCTGGGTGCTGTGGCACATGCCTTTAATCCTATCAATCACGAGGCCAGCATGGGCTATATAGTGAGTTCAGGACAGCAGGGGCTATATTAGAGATCCTGCCTTAAAAACACAAAACAAAAACTCCATAATTTTTAATGCTGAATAAAAATAGGTCCTTGGCTGTCTTGTCCTTGACATTAGGGATGAAATTTTCTGGACACAAAAGAATTCCAGAAGAGAAATAGAATGATTTGTATTTCAAAAGCAATACATTTAGAAAATTAGTCTCCTTTCTAAATTAGGGACTAGATGTCTTCTGAAGATTGTATATGGCTAAATAAAGTTCAAGTCACAAAGCTGAACTGGTATATAACTGTCTTCAAGAGCAACAAATCTCACTCAAAGCTACAGGCAGGTGGGTGGCCACAGGACATGGCAGCTGTATGTCTAGTCAAAGGTAATTTCATCAAGAAACCCTGGTGGAACACACTGATAACCCCAGCACTCGGGAGGCAAGAGTTCAAGACCAGCGTGGTCTACAAGAGCTAGTTCCATGACAGTGTCCAAAGCCAGGGGAAAAAACCCTGTCTGGAAAATCAAGCAAACAAACAAACAAACAAATCTCATGTTCTACCTATGTGCTCAGGGCTTTCTTTACAGCCAGGTGACCTCGGGAGAAAAATAAAACAATCTCCGAGTTAAGGGTTAAAATGATAATCCATAAACTCATTTTTTAAAAAATCCTAACCTGGGCAAATTACCAAAACAAGTATTTTCCATTTTATTTTCTGCTTGCAATTTAAATATTAAAGGTTTATGTGTACCACACTATAACACAGATCGGAAGTACTGGGAGATTTAAAAAAAAAAAAAAAAACTGCAAAACGATTTAGAAAGGAAAATCCTTTCTCCAGTGCAGATTTCTCAATTAGCAACAAGTATTCTAACCTGGACCAGAGTTTAAAACATCAGGTGTGGGCTGGGCGGTGGTAGTGCACGCCTTTAATCCCAGCACTCAGGAGGCAGAGGCAGGTGGATCTCATAAATTTCAAGAGTTCCAGGACTGACTCCAAAACTACAGAGAAACCGTATGGAAAAACAAACAAAAAACACAAGCAAGCAAAGTTAGATGTGAAAGACAAAGCTCACTGATTTATTAAAGTGCTGTTGTGCAAGCAAGAATAGAGTTCAGTTCTCCAAAAACGATGTGACCTATGTTGTTGCAGCTGTCTGCTTTTAATTAGTGCACTAGACACACCTCTGAGCTAAACTGTGAGACTCTGTCTCAAGGAATAAGGTGGGCAGCCATTGGTGAAGACACTGGAGTGTCTTGGACCTGCACTGAGTTCAGGTACAGGAGTACCCAATACATACACACACACAATTTTCTTGGTAACCTCTGCCTAGTATAGTTGACTCCTATCTGAAACAATAACCATTCCTACCCATATAACAGTCTTTGTAATATTTTACTATTGCTATTATATTTTCAAGTTCTTTAAGAAATGTTGTATTTATACATTCTACAGCTCTTGGGTCTGGCACACTATATAACACAACAGGTAATCAGAATGATAAGCAACTCTACCTATTGTGTGCTTTGGCAACACACCTAATATAGTGATGAGTTTTCTTCGTGATTATGTCAACTAATTATTACAAGCCTATATTATATTAGCCTGCTTTTCAGATGAGAGATATACCTCTGAGACGAAGTAACTTGTTAGCTACTCTTAACATGCCTCAAGCTGATGGATTTGGCTTTGTAGTAAAAACATTGCTATTAGGCGGCTAGATTCTCACTAGCAATCCCTGCATATGTCCAGTACAGCCACCCTTGGTCCACCATAGAAAATAAAATTTTCTTTTGTTTTGTTTTTTGAGACAGGGTTTCTCTGTGTAGCTTTGGAGTCTGTCCTGGGACTCACTCTGTAGACCAGGCTGGCCTCGAACTCAGAGATCCACCTGCCTCTGCCTTTCAAGTGCTGGGATTAGAAACGTGAGCCACCACTGCTGGTCTAATAAAAAAATACTTTACCTGCTGATACATTAACTGAAATATACCAAAACTAAAGAATAGCTGCAACTCTTTTCTTTACTCCCCTAGGTATCAATTTCTTACCAAGAGAAATTTCTAAGCAACCCATTTATAAGGAATATGTACAAAGTAAAAAAAATATGCATGGTGGGACATGGGGTAAGCACTGTGGTAGCAAGAGATAAAAGCATGGAAATTAACAGTACAAACTATCTCTTGCTCACTAGGCAGCCTTGAGCAAGTGAACTTTGGAGCCCGGTTCCCATATGCAAGATGGAAATACCGCCACTCATCAAAAGGTTATACAATACACAAACTTCCACAGCACAATGCTGGAGAGTTGGCCTGCTAAAATTTGGAGAAAAATGTCAATCATTTTGTTTCAAAGTAATATCTATCTGATGATCCCTTTTTTCCTAAAAACATAACCAAATTTCAGCTCAGTTCATCTTTCCTAGTCTTCTCCATAGTATCACAGCCCATTCATTTGCACCCATTAGTAAGTACATCAGTGTTTCTTCTAGTACAGAGGTCTCTCCTGTTAACTTAAAATATCTATTATCCCTAAAGCATAGGTCACTAGAACAAAGACAGTAGTTTCCACTTATGCGTACTTTGAAGACAACAGTGAGCTCAGGTTTCTGCAATGGGTCAGACCCATTTGAAACCAGTATCTACCACTTAATTCAAATGCTTTACCGAAAAAATTCTCAAGTAATAAAGAATAATGTGCCCAGTTTTTTTCTACCACCAACTATCAGTATTTATTTCCTAAGGTGTCTTGCTACATCAACCAATTGTTTTTTACTAAGTACTGTGTGGAAAATGCCACTTACCTTCTATTTCAACCAAAGGTTCTTGAGTAAACTCCTGAAAAAATTTGTAGAAGAACTTACTGCAGGCAGCCAAAACAGCCTTGTGGGCCTTAAAATGGTGTCCTAAGAAAAGGGGGTTAGAGTGGGGGAGAAAAAGAAATCATACATACACTGGCGACAAAAATCAAAGTTAAACTACAAAAATGTATAAAGGAGATCTTCATAATATAAATGCATATCCACACATAGTATTAGGAAAAACCCAAACTACTACTGTCAATTATTTCAGGAAGTTTTTATTTTAATTGGACACAAACCTAAATTTTAAGCTTCAAAGATTTCAGGTTTTCTAAAAGCCAGTTTATGAATGCTTTCTAGCACGTTGTTCCACTCAATTAAGTAACAAAGTCTATTTAACCCTGCTGAAACTGTTAAATATGGGCTACAGTCATGGCTTGGTAGTTAAGAGCACCAGTTTCTCTTTAAGAGGACCCAGGTTCAATTCCCAGCACCCACACCGCAGCTCACAAATGTTTGCAATTACAGTTCCAAGGAACCTTCTTGAACACCAACAAGCACATGGCGAGCACACACAGTCACGTGTGTGGGGCCAGGATAGTCATACACATAAAATAAAAAATATGACAATCCAACATTCAATGGTAGTGGCACAACCTTTAATCCCAGCACTCTGGAGGCAGAAGAATGTCTGGTGAATTCCAGCCCAGCCTAGTCTACACAGAAAGTTCTAGGACAACCAGGACTGTTACACAGAGAAACCCTGTCTGCAGGGGGAAAAAAAAAAAAAAAGTGCAAAGCTAGATGTGTCTGGTATGGGAAATGTTTCAATGTGCCTAACATATTTGTAGGCACAGCACACTTACAAACCCCTATAATAAGGAACAGCTTGTCTTGAAAGCCCATTTCCACTGAATAGAAAAGAACCCCAACTGGGAGCAGGCCTTTAATCCCAGCAGTAGGGAGGCAGAGGCAAGGGGATCTCTGTGAGTTCCCAGCCTGGTCTACAAGAGCTAGTTCAAGGACAGCCTCCAAAGCCACAGCGAAACACTGTCTGGAAAAATCAAAAGAGAGAGAATCCCAACCTGGGTTTGCCTCTACAAGACTGATAAAGATCCCAGTTTATTCTGGAGTCGCCCAAAGGGGGGTGGGTATGAGTAGCCAAGGTCTCTCTTCCTTTCTCTTTCCTTTCCACACCATTATGGAAAACTGGAATGAACATTTCCCAAAGATTCCTGTGCTACACTTCTCATAGCAGCTTGCTAAGAGGAAGCTTATTAACAAAACGTTAAGACAGCCTGCCTCCCTGTCTTCTTTCTTACCAAACATTTTGAGGCATTTTCTCTCCCCTTATCTTTACGCCCAAGTGTGTAATGAGAAAACTTGAACAGGGTGGCAAGAAGTTAAAATGCGATGCGCATCAGACTAGATTAAAATTAAGACTGGCCAACCAGCTTTCTGCAGCATGGTCTACGTGAGCAACACTGACAACCGCCCTCCCGGTTCCAATGCAAACCCTCCACAGACTTTGGAAGAGAGCCCGGAGAGGGTGGGTAAAAAAAAGGCGGGCAGTGAGAGGGAACGAAAGCTCCAACATTCTCCTCTGCCCACTACCCTACCCACCGTCGACAATCAGGGTGATGTCCGTGAACCGGTCCTGCTCCCGTTGTTCATTCAACCGGTCCAAGATCATTTTATGATGTTCAGGAAACTCCTGAAGGCATTCCATCGTTTCTTCAGCCTCCATGGCCGTCGGGGTGCTCTACAAAAGAGGAGCATGATAATGTACACCCATGAGCTCGGGCTGACACGAAAACCCCTACAGCAGAAAACAAAACAAAACCCAGGAACGGGGGGAGAAGGGGGAGGGGGAGGCCGAGAGCAAGGCTGGGCAAGAAGAAAGGCGAGCCGAGCGGCCGCCGCGCGTCGCGGGCCGGAGCGGCGGCCGCGGGACTCCGAGCCTGACCTAATTGGAGTCTGGAGACGCGAGCGGGAGCGGGGTGGGCACGGTGCCGGAGGCTCCGGGCGCCCAGGAGCGCCAGTCCGGCCGGGGAGGGCACCGAACAGCCTCGGCGACCTCCCAACGGCCCGCCGAGACTTCCGCCCGGCCCGGGCTCCCGCAGCCCCAGCCCCGGTCCGGCCCGCGGCCCACAACGACTCCCGCCCGGGTCGCCTCTCCCTCCGGCGCCCTCCCTCCTCTCCCCCCCGCCCCGACCCGGCCGGCACTCACTCAGGGAAGGAGGAGCGGCCCGGGCCTGCGCGTCACTTTACGTCGACGTGCTGCGTCACCGCGCCGGACGCGGACGTACCGAGAGCGCCAATCCCCGCAACGCCTGGCCACGCCCCCGCCGCCCCGTGGGGAGGGGCGGAGGCCCGGGAGGGATCGGCGCGGCCCTGGCCGCGTGCTCGGGTCCGCTGGGCGCCGCTGCGGCTTCTCTCCCGGGGGAGCCGGGCAGCACCAGGCCAGGCAGACGGTGGCCCTCGAGCGCCCCGCCGTCGCCGCCCGCACTCACGCACGCCCGCCCGCCCGCGCCGGGCTCAGGCGCTGCACTTCCGACCGCGAACTCGGAGAAAATCCGCTCCGCGGCCCCGCCCCGGCCGGCCCGGCCCGCCCCCTCCCCGGAGCCGAGGTGGGCCCCGAGCCTTACCTAGCTGGCGCCGCGCCCGCGTGCCCGCCTTTCCACGCGCTCCCCTCCCGCGGCGCAGCCGGTCCGGTGCCCAGGCCGGACCCCGCCCTCCATCTTCACCCCCGCTGCCCCGGCCTCGCCCGGCAGGAGACCCCGGCCCACGCACTTGCGCCCTGGGCTCGGCGGCGCGAGCACGCTCGGACGCCGGGGGTCCCTTCTCCCCCCCACCCCACCCCCAAAGGCCCGCCCTGCGGCGGTGGCAACACGCGTCTAAAGACTCTGGGACCCGGTCAACTCCTCGTCACGGCTCTGCGCACCCGCCTCCTGGACCCTAAAGAGACTGCAGACTGCCCGTCAGCTGCACGTGGCAGGCTTGCTCGCTCTCGCATTCATTCATCCATCCTAAAAAGGCTGAGGATGATGCTGTAATAGGTGAGGTGCAGTGACCGATAATCTCTCCAAGAGTTGGAGAATGAGGATTAATGGAAAGTCAAACAGCTGTATGCGAGACTGCATGGAATCACTTCAGCAGCTGGCTTGAGTCAGCTGCTGTTTAAGAAACCCAGAAGCGCTGGGGTGGACGAGGCACACTTGCTTCCTGCATTTTAACTCTGAACAGCAGTGAACTGATCGCCCAGTGTTACACACAGGTAGTCTGCAGAGTCCAGGGAAGCTAACAAGAAGGTGCGCGTGCTTTTAGCCAAGCACACACAGCACGTGCGGACTTGGAAGGCAGAGTGTCCCTGCTGCTGGAACAGGCTTCTTAAGTGTTAAAGATGTCAGATTTTCTTAACGTTTTAGGAGAGGAATCCTTGAAAATCCAACAGGAAGAGAGAATGGAGATGAGAGGAATAATTATGAGGGAACATAAGTGGGCATGATGATATCAAAGAATAATTTTGCTGTATGAGCTCCTTTGGGAGGAAAAATCTAGCCTCAGGGATTCGGAAATTGTCAGCGTCCATGCACATTAAAGGCAGAAGTGAATGGAATAACTTGTGAAGAATCAGCAAGAGTGATAGACTAGCGTCTTATAGATTGAACTGGCCCACTGTTGTACTTTTAATATTACGATCATTATTCTCACTTTAAGTTTTTTAGATTTATAGGTACGATTGTTTTCCTTCAGGTGCATAAGTGCACCATGTGTGTGCCTTTTGCCTAGAGGTCAGAAGGTGTGAGGTCTAGATCTGGAGTTGCAAATGGTTGTGAACTACCACATGAGTGCTCGAAAAGGAACTGTAAGAGCAACAAGTGCTCTTAACAGACAGTTCACACTATTTCTTAGAACAAGAAATTACATATGAAAATAGGTTTTGGGGACACTCCAGTTTATAAGTCTGTTTCCCTGTGTATTTGAGTTGGTTAAATGTAAAGCACTGTGTATTTTTAGTATATGAACTCTCCAGTTCAACACAACACTTTCTAATATACTCAGCTCATAACTTTTTTTTTTTTTTTTTTGAGAAAGGGCCTCACTATGTAGCCCTGTCTGGCTTGGAATTCGGTATGTAGACCACGATGGCCTCCCATTCACAGATATACTTGCCTCTGCCTCCCTCGTGCTGGAATGAAAGGCATGCCCTGTCATGTCTGGCCATAGCATGCCTTTTTGGATACTTGCCTAGTCCAAAGTCTGAAGCTCCTGTGCTTAAAGCATCCAAGTGGAAGCAACAATGTTTATCCCTGCAGAAGTATCTGTACACTTGAGTACAAAAAATCCGGAAAGGACTGAGAAATGCAGCTAGAGAAAGGTAAGTATTGCCTCGAGAGAAGAGTCTTTCTAAGACCAGGGCTGTGCTGCTTGAGATGGCTCAAACCCAGAAACCCACAGAAATGCCACGTGGATGTGGTAGCCATTCTGTAATTCCAAACTTAAAAGGCAAAGAAGGGATTCTCAGAGTGAGCTGGCTAGCAAGTCAAGCCTCATCAACAAGCTCTGGGTTTGACCCTGTATCCGTGAATAAGGTAGAAGAGAGAGTATGATTCCTGATGTGAACAGGTACGCCTCCACACAAGGAAAGAAAAAATATTCACAATGGAGTCAGGAGACACAAGTGCTGTTCAGCTGTGTCAAATGGCCAAGCTAGACAAGGGGAATGGTTTGGGAGATGCACCTTGTGTCTTGGACATCTTATGAAAGACCGTAGTAATTAGCAGATTTGATGAAGAGAGATGAGAAGCAGATTTGGTGGAGAGAGACCCTAAGATATTTATATTCAAGTATGTTGAATAATAATTAGTAATATTTTACTAATTGTAAGGAGCCATGTGTGGTGGTTCACGCTTTTAATCCCAGTGCTTGGGAGGCAGAGCCAGGCAGATCTCTGAGTTCGAGGTCAGCCTGGTCAATACAGTGAGTTCCAGGACAGCTAGGGTATGCAGAGAAACCCTGCCTTGAAAAACCAAATATAACTTTATTGTTTCTGTGGAACAGCATCCTGGTTGCTACTTAAGTTTTCATCATCACTCACTGGCTTTAGTCAAGGTGTCACTGTGTTTCTGTATGATAGAAACATAAAATGTGAGGGAGGTGAGGTTGATTTTGACTTACAGGTTTGTCGTGACACACACACAGCTAGGAGTAGCTATTTCCAAAGCTTCAGGAACATGAGCTTCTAGTCACATCAGAGCAGCAGACAGGGTGCTTGTGCTGGAAGCTGTCAAAGGCCGGCTCCCCATGACCTGCCTACGAAAGCATGCCTCACCCCAGAGTTTCCATTTTCCCCAGACTGCGTCTACAAACAAGGACCAAGTGTTCAAACATACACTTTGGAGGGCTGTTGACAGCTAAACCACCATCTCAAGGCTCAGCTGGGACAGGTCCAAGGTCACACAAGAGATTCTTTACAGAATTCACTTCCCTATACTCAGACCAAAAACCCAGTTCTTTTAAGGCTTCTCTCCATCTCAGGCTCTTACAAGACAGGATGGCTAGATCCCAACAGAGAAAATAAGTGAAAAAGTATGAAAGAACAACACATGTCAAAATCTTAAAAGCTGTTTTAGTGAGCTGTCTGTCTGATAAAGAAATGCCTGGGGCTGGAGAGCTGGCTCAGCAGTTAAGAGCATTGACTGCTCTGCTAGAGGACTGGGGTTCAATTCCCAGTACCCACATTGTAACTCCATGTTACAGACATAACATTGCAAACAAAACCCCAGTGCAAATGAAATGAAATAAATCATTAAAAGAAAAGTGCCTAGGGTAAAGGACTTAAGAGGAAAGGCCTGTTGGGTGGTGGTGGTCACCTTTAACCGCAGCACAGCTGGGGCTATGCAGAGAAAAAAAAAAAAAAAAAAACAATAAGGGTTTATGCTAACTCACAGCTATGGAGACTTCCATTCATGGTTAGCCCAGGTGCTTTCAGTCCTGAAGTGAGGTAATATTTTACCGTGGAGAGGGGGTTGGAAAGTTCAAGGGTAGTGGGGTGTCTGATAATTCCTTGAAAGCTATGGAAGATTACAGGACAGGAGCCATAGGGAGCCATAGGGAGTGCCTGAAGACCTGAGTGAATGTATGCTGTCAGACAGACATGAGCTGGATGTCCAGAACCAAGGCCTCAGGCTCATGGGAAATTGACAGAACCTTTGCCTTATGGATCATGTTTAGAACTGGCAAAGCCTTCCTCTGGTCCAAATGTGAGTGTTGACAGTATGTGCAAGTATGAGTGTTTCTGAATGGTTGACCAGTGTGAACAAACTAGCAGTTACAGCTTCCTCCTTCCTGGTGTTTACAGCCACAGAGTGCTGCCTACTGTTGTGTGATGAAACTGACACGATGCATCTACTCAGCCCAGATAGGGAATCCCATGACACCAAACCAGCAAAGTTCAACATGACCCAATGGGTTTTAGTGGGGGTTAATTACAGGCGCAGAAATAACTGAAAGGCAGCTGCATGGCCAAGGCCTACCCCAGTACAGGTGACAAAAGTCGGGAACCTGGGCACTAGCACAGCCTGAACGTAGCCCAGCAGGTGTGCTTTCCAGGTTCCACCTCCTCCCGGCAGCTCAGCTGGTTTCTGCTTTTTCAAGGCAGCTGGTCTCTGAGAATCTTTGCAGCTTGCCTTGTTTCCTGTGGGAGTCTCAGCTTTTATTGTTTACTCTGGCAGGGAGGAGCCTGGTGAATCTGGTCTGTTTCAGGGTTGCTGTCTTGAGTTATTTCCTTTCCTGCTCAAGCAGCTTCTCTGTTACACAACTTTACAGAGACCATCCACTGTAAGAGTAGCTAAAGACTAGCTAATGTCCCCCTTGTGTTGTACATAGTAAGAGGGTTGCTTGGTAGTTAGTTGGTGCCACTCCATCAGAGTATGCACGGCCCACCTTTTGGTATGGATGTGTGTTTATCTTTTGTTCATTCCCTGTTGGCCCCAAAGATGACCTTGAACTTCTTTATCCTCCTGCCTCCACCTTCCAAGTGGCTTTGAAAGGCATGCACTATCATACTTGGTTTTTTTTTTTTTTTTTTCCATACTTGGTTTTATGAGGCACCACCATTAAACTTGGCCTCATGCATGGTAGGCCAATGCTCTCATCTGAATTAAAACATCTGAATGACTTGATACCTTTGCTGTCT